GAAGTGTTGAAAGCTGGTCTTCACAGTTTGATTTCTTTAGAGACCTGATGAGGTCTTTTTCAAGTTGATCTTCAGCAGCTTATACTCCCATTCCCTTCATTACCTCATTGCTCTTTTCAGCCCTAGTAGTGGCAGTGTTGAGGCTCAGGAGCTCACAAAAGACAGAAGACACTCTTACTGCCCCCATGTAACAGCACCATGTGCTTGAGCAACTATGCACCAGTACTGTGAAAGGAAGGGGGAGTGAGACATGTTCCTCCATACATGCAAGTATTATGTATTTCTAATGTATTCTTGGTGGCTGAACAGAGCAGCAGGTGAGCACAGGTGACTATATTGTGCAGATGGGGGGTGTATTTAAAGTGAACGTGTTGCTTTGCCCTACGTGGGTAAAGCACAGGTTCACTTTTAAAGTGTTAATAAACCATGGACCCTGCATGTACTATATCTGGTCTACCACAGTACATGGAAATGCAATTATTTTAGTAAATATAAACTGCTAAGTATATTTACTCACCACCAGTTAGAGAGCAGTCGTGTGACTTCTATCAGTGTCTGGCACAGCACTGGTTAAAGCTTACAGGAGGAGTTTTCATTCTCCTCTGATTTTCCTGTGAGGCTGCACACCCCTTGACCCTCTGTCTGGGCAGTGCTGATTGGCCCTGTGCTGATTACATGCACTCCCCCAAAAAAAATTAAAAACACTCTAGCAATACACACCAAACTGAGCATGTGCAGCTTTGGCCCCAAGGCTCAGTTCTATCATCAGATGGATTGGGGACAGTAGAAGTAGGGGAGGATCACAGAAGACAGGATCAAACAGTCTTTTTACACAATGCAGAGGATTAACCCCTTAGGTTCCACAGCGAGTATAACAAGCATGCTTTACTGCATCTACACACTGATTGTACTGTTGTGGGTTTAGTCATAGTCAGATACTTGGAACTTCCTTATTTCATCATTTTAATAGCCAGCCGCTTGCCATGTGGGACAATGATTGACACAGCAAACATCTCCAGAGTACCCAACCAAGTGTTTTACGTTTGGTTGGTATCTTTTTGTTTTCACTCCATGAACAGACAGATTATTGTAAATGTATCAAGGAATTTATACATTTAGGGACTCTTCTATTGAGACTGTGGTTTCTAAAGGGCAAATAGTGGAATTGTCACAAAGGTTTGTAGGTGTAATGAAAGGTGTAGTTTGAAAGAATGCAGAAGCTGTTGGCTATCTAAAAAATGAAAAAACAAAAAAAACACTAATCAAAATTAAATCCAAACATGCCACGCTCCACGAATAAAATATGCAAAAAAGGTATATACGTAAATTAAATAAATAGAATTTTAAATATTTTTAAATGGCGTAAGTGAGCCCAACTTTAGTTTGCAATCCTGCTAAAGCTGTGTGCTTTATTTATAGTGCGTTTTCCACTAGTGAAAAATATATATACACAAAAAATATAAAAAAAAATAAAAATTATATATAAAAAAAAACAAATAAAGCAAGCAGCTTTAGCAGGATTGCAAACTAAAGTTGGACTCACTTATGTAATTTTAAAAATATTTAAAATGATATTTATTTATGTACAGTTGCAAGAAAAAGTATGTGAACCCCTTGGGATTACGTTGAGTTTTGCATGAATTGGGCATAAAATGTGCTCTGAATGTCATCTAAGTCACAACAATAGAAGAACACAGTCTGCTGAACATAATACTACACAAACATTAGATGTTGCCATGGTTTAATTGCACATAACATGTAAACATTCACAGTGCAGGGAGGAAAAAGTATGTGAGGCCCTAGCTTAATGACTTCTCCCAGAGCTAATTGGAGCCAGGAGTGAGCCAACCTTGACTCCAATCAGTGTGATGATATTGGATGTGTTGCTGACAGCTGTCCTGCCCTTAAAAAACACACACCTGTTTTGGGTTTACTGGTTTCAAGAAGCACTGTCTGATGTGAACCATGCCTTGCAGAAAAGAGCTCTCAGAAAACCTACGATCAAGAATTGTTGACTTGCATGAAGCTGGAAAGGGTTACAAAAGTATCTCCAAAAGCCTTGATGTTCATGTGTCCACGGTAAGACAGACTGTCTACAAATGGAGAAAGTTTAGCACTGTTGCTACTCTCCCTATGCGTGGTCGTCCTGTAAAAATGACTGCAAGAGCACAACGCAGAATGCTGCATGAGGTAAAGAAGAATCCCAGAGTGTCAGCTAAAGACCTACAGAAATCTCTGGCACATGCTAACTTTTTTGTTGACACATCTACAATAAGGAAAACATTAAACAAGAATGGAGTACATGGGAGGACACCACGGAGGAAGCCATTGCTGTCCAAAAAGAATATTGCAGCCCGTTTGAAGTTTGCAAAAGAGCACCTGGATGTTCCACGGCACTACTGGCAAAATATACTGTGGACAGATGAAACCAAGATTGAGTTGTTTGGGAAGAACACACAACACTATGTGTGGAGAAAAAAAGGCACAGCACACCAACATCAAAACCTCATCCCCACTGTAAAACATGGCGGAGGGAGCATCATGGTTTGGGGCTGCTTTGCTGCCTCAGGGCCTGGACAGATTGTTGTCATTGATGGGAAAATGAATTCCAGAGTTTATCAAGATATTTTGCAGGAAAACGTACGACCATCTGTCCGCCAACTGAAGCTCCACAGAGGATGGGTGATGCAACAGGACAATGACCCAAAGCATACAAGTAATTCAACAAAACAATGGCTGCAACAGCACAGAATACGCCTTCTGGAGTGGCCCAGTCAGAGTCCTGACCTCAACCCGATTGAAATGCTGTGGCATGACCTTAAGAGAGCGATTCACACCAGACATCCCAAGAATATTGCTACACTGAAACAGTTTTGTGAAGAGGAGTGGTCCAAAATTACTCCAGATCGTTGTGCAGGTCTGATCTGCAACTACAGGAAACGTTTGGTTGAGGTTATTGCTACCAAAGGAGGGTCAACCAGTTAAGTCCAAAGGTTCACATACTTTTTCCTCCCTGCACTGTGAATGTTTACATGTTATGTGCAATTAAACCATGGCAACATCTAATGTTTGTGTAGTATTATGTTCAGCAGACTGTGTTCTTCTATTGTTGTGACTTAGATGACATTCAGAGCACATTTTATGCCCAATTCATGCAAAACTCCACGTAATCCCAAGGGGTTCACATACTTTTTCTTGCAACTGTATATACTTTTTTTGCATATTTTATTAGTGGAGCGCGACATGTTTGGATTTAATTTTCATAATAGCGACACACTAGTATGAGTATGTGTATGGTGTAGGCGACCCAATCATTTATTTTATTTATTTAATCAATAAGTATACACATAAGCACATTAATTTTGCACAACATATATATTGTTTTTTTTAACTTTAATTATACTTTAACTTTCATTATATTAAGACATATATGCACAAAATACACCATAGTAGCTCACAAGTATCACATTTTTATAAAATAAACACTAAACTTGCTGACCACCTAAATATTGTATTTTTCGCTCTTCCTTCTATTGTTTTAACTATATTGCATAATTGTCTCCTCTTCAGGAGGCTCTTCTATAAAGACTTGAGTTTGTTTCTGGAATCATGGCTGATCTACGGAGAACAGGGGAGGAAAAGAAGAAGGTGTCCAAGGAGATCTTAAACCTCACACTGGAGATCATCTACTTGCTAACTGGGGAGGTGAGGAGGATTCTGGGTGCTTTACATGACATCACTCTTATCGTGGTTAATAAAACACTGACTTGATTGGAGTGGTGAGGAGGATTCTGGGAGGTCACATGATAGGACTCTTATCTCTGCTAGTAAAATACAGAAATGGTTCTAGAGATATTGGGGTTAATTTACTAAAACTGAAGAGTTCAAAATCTGGTATAGCTGGTAGCCAATCAGTATCTAACTTCAGCTTGTTTGGTTAAGCTTTGAAAATAAAACCTTGAAGCCGATTGGTTGTCACGCAGAGCTGCACCAGATTTTGCTCTCTCTCACGTTTTAGTAAACCAACTGAATTGTCTTATCACTTTATGGGCAGCACAATGGCTAAATGATTAGCACTTCCTCTTGGCAGCACTAGGGTTGTTGGTTCGAATCCCAACCATGGCACCCCCTGCCTGGAGGGTGATGATGTAGACTCTGATGTAAGGGGGGCTCTGATCAGGGATCTGAGGTAAGGGGGGACCCTGATATGGAGCCGCTGTCTCGGGTTGCCCACCACTGAAAATAATGATAATATAATAATAGCACAGTGGCTAAGTGGTTAGCACTTCCGCCTGGCAGTCATTGGTTCAAATCCCAACCATGGCACCTCCTCCCTGGAGTTTGCATGTTCTTCCTGTGCCTGCATGGGTTTCCTCCGGGTACTCCAGTTTCCTTCCACACCCCAAAGACATGCTGGTAGGCGAATTGGCTCCTGTCTAAATTGGCCCTAGTATGTGTATGTATGAATGTGAGTTAAGGACTTTAGATTGTACGCCACTTGAGGGTTAGGGACTGATGTGAATGTACAATATCTATGTAAGGTGCTGCGTAAATTGACGGCGCTATATAAGTACCTGAAATAAATAAATGAATCTTTTGTCCTCTCCATATAGTTATATACATTTATTTTCATATACAGGATTACACAGTAGTGGCAAAGACATCCAGTGATTATGTCACACCTATCAGCCATTCCTACATATCCAGAGAATGGACTCAGAATAAAAGTCCCATCATGGAGCCTCCACTTTGCTCCCTAATACTTGAAGAAAAGAACACCAGTAAAATTCTAGCGGTTATCAACAAGATCACTGAGCTTCTGACAGGAGAGGTGAGCGGTGCCGGGAATTCTGGGACGTTATCCAGTAACAGACAAGGGATGTGTCTGGATGGTGACTGTATCATTGTGTGTGTCAGGTTCCTATAAGGTGTCAGGATGTCACTGTCTATTTCTCCATGGAGGAGTGGGAGTGTATAGAAGGACACAAGGACCTCTACAAGGACGTCATGATGGAGAACCGGCCGCCCCTCACATCCCCGGGTAAGAGGAGACTTTAATTTCTTGTACTGAGAATCCACCTAGATACACACATCCTCTGATAGAAAGACAGAAACAATAGAGGTGTGGGAGTATTTTGAGGAACACAAGGATCTGTAGAAGGACATCACGATGGAGAACCGGCCTCCCCTCACATCACCAGGTAAGAGGAGACTTTCATTTCTTGTATTGAGGATCGACCTAGATACACACATCCTCTGATAGAAATACATAGAAACAATAGAGGAGTGGGTGTATATATAGAAGGACACAAGGATCTGTAGAAGGACGTCATGATGGAGAACCGGCCACCTCTCACATCACCGGGTAAGAAGAGACCTTAATTTCTTGTAAGGGAGAGAAGAGAATTGAGGATCCAACTAGATCTACATGTCTTCTGATATGAAGTGTAACAAATGGCCAGGAAAAACTGCTGGCTGTGTCCAGGGTGGGAGATATATTTGTACCAGGTTTAGGCAGTATTTTTCTTTTTCTGCTTTTTAGTGAGGTTGTTGGGCTGGCCTAAGTGGTAATGAGCCCAGCTGAAGCAGGTCTTGCTATGTTGGGCTCTAAAACTTCCAGTCGGCTTAGGGATGCTGCTTCACCCCGGAACTAGTTCTTTATGCATGTCAGATTTGGGAGCATGAAAATACATGTGTTGTGAAAAACAGCTGATCTGTGGTGAGACCATGCCTTTATGGCTACAATTGACAGTTGGGTGTCTGGGCAGCAGTTGGTTGCTCCAAGATGGTTACTCAGGGTCCATTGTGTTAGCAAATTTCCAAAGTGGCAAGGATTTAGATCTCACTCACATGGCCTTACTTAACCACTTCCTGCCTAGCCTATTGTAAACTGACGGCTGGGTGGGACTTTCGTTATTCCAGGAGGACATCATGATGATACAACTTTAGAAACTTGCCATGCACAGCGGGTAAAATAAGTATTGAACACGTCACCATTTTTAAATATATTTTTAAAGGTGCTATTGACATGAGCTTTTCACCACATGTCGGTAACAACCCATGCATACAAAGAAACCAAAACAAATACGTTTAGAAACTAAAATTAAAGTTTTTTTGGCTGTTGATGCAGAGCTGGACCTGGAGGGATTAGCAGTTCTCTGGAACCAAGAATTTGGTGCTGGTAAGGCAGTATTCTTCTGCAAGCCCCAATGTTACCTAAGGGTGCCAGAGGGGTTGTTTTAGTTTTTTTCCTTCTTGGTGTTTTTTGGTGGTCTTTCTCAACCTCAACTGTCTGGTGCTGAGGTCTAAATTTTATTCCCATCTACCCTCATGTTATGCAGAATCAAACCATTGGGTTCTCTAGTGGCCTCAGGGGTCTCTTCACATCCTCATGGGCTATTAGGCTGTAATAATACTGTACATTCTCAGTGTACGTTGCCTAAAACATTGGTTGTCTGGCTAGGCAACCTCCTTTAGCCACAGAGTTAACCACCCTTTTAACCAACTAGTCTTTCTTGCTTCAGTGTAGTTTTTGTTTTTTGGACTTGGTTCTCTTTGGGGCCTGTTATTTTTTGAGGCTATCCACAGTGACTTGTTCTGTTGACCACATCAAGTTGCCAACATCTGATCTGTCGCAGTTTTATTATTTCACCTGTTTTGGTACGTTTTCACATGGGTTTGGATTCCTTTCATTGTGGAGTACTTCAACTCTGGGGTTGCCTTTCTCCTTCCTAATCAGGAGCCTTAGTGCCCCCCCGATTGTGTTGACAGGTTCTCCTATTTAGTAGAAGAACCCCCCTTCATCTTTTCAGATTTGGGAGTTACTCATCCAAGCAGTTCCAGGGCTAAAGGTGGTCCCTGGTTCTCCTAGTGAAGGCTGTTCATGTTTATTTGCTGTGCTGCCCACAACTCTGTTGGACTGCTTTTGGACATCCAAACTACCTGAATTGCTATGTCCCTCAGTGGATGAGACAGAAAATACGTTTTGTTTTTTTTTATTTACCATAAAATCCATTCATTGAGGGATATGGATCTCTTCTCTGTGTTTTTGATCATTCCCTAAGTACCACAAAACTGAGACATGCTGGGTAGAGGAGGAATTATACTATGGGCTGGCTTTTTCTGTTTGCCAATGTCCCATCCTCCTGTAGGCTGCAGTACAATCTGACTGTATATGTGTCCCTCAATGTATTCCAGTAAGTGGACTTTATGGTAAGTACAGACTGTGTTTTGTGTTTTCTACAGATGGATCCAGTAACCAAAATACACCAGAAAGATGTCCCCATCCTCTGTATTCTCGGGACTCCACACAGGATCACAAGATTTCACAGAATGATAAGGTAGATGAGACTGAGCAGCTTCTTAAATTAAAAAAAAAAAAAAAAAACCAGCATGCTTAACCCTTTCGCTGCCTGGCCTTGCACTCCACTGTTAATCACAGGTGGCCAGACCATTTTTACAATTTTCTTTTACTTTTATAATTTTTCACTTTCATCTTTCAAGGTGCTGTAGGTCCTGTAATACTTGCACTAATGTTTATAAAAAGGATATTTTGCCTAAATACACTAAGATCATTATTATTGCACACAAACACAACAGAACAAAATGACAACTGTAATGAGGTGATAAATAACGAATGACTGGGGATTTTTTTTTTTTTTTTTTGCAGTGGTATGCAAAAATTGTAAGTAATTGTAAATAAGTAATTTACATTTAAAAACTGGAGGTTGGCTTCACCCGACTGCATTGTGGTAATGCCCGATCCACAGTTTTGTGTGCTCTGCGTTGATATGCATTGCGATAAAATGATGCAGGCATACATTTTATCGCTTCTTTGCGTTATAAATGTAGAGGTTGAATGTGATTTTTAAGAAGTTTAGAAAAAGAGAACAAAAAAATAGCACTGTGATGACTTGTAACAAAGCAGCATTTATGCACACAGCATATGCAAACGATGCGCCCCATAATGCATGGTCTCTGGTGCGAATGATCCATTAGTGTCTTGGTGCACCGCAATACACCAACACATGTAACATGCATTACCACAATGTCTGTATTGCACATGTGTATGTTTTGCTCGCACATATGTAATTTGTATGTGGGGTGTTTACATAACCACAAAAGGCTACAGTATCAAGAAGAAGTGTATTTCTGCACCCAAGAGTCACAGGAGCTCAAGCGACATTAAAGGCAGACTTTTTTTTTCTAAATTAACAAACTTATCATACTTTTAAGCTCTGTGCGGTGGCTTTGCGCACAGCAGCCCTGATCTTCCTCTTTTCGGGTCCCCCACCTGCTCTCCTGGCCCCTTCCTCCTGCCAAGTGCCCCCACAGAAAGCAGCTTGTTATGGGGGCACCCGAGCAGGCTTGCTCCTGAGTCGCTGCTCTGTCTGTCCATTCAGACACAGAGCATGGCACGGACCTGCTCCCTTCTTCTCTCCTCATTGGCTCACTGGCTGTGATTGATACATAGCCACTTGGCTGTGATCCTGCCAAGTGCCCCTACAGAAAGCAGCTTGCTATGGGGGCACCCGAGAAGGCTTGCTCCTGATTCGCTGATCTGTCTGTCCATGCAGAACAGAGCATGGCTCGGACCTGCTCCCCTCTCTCCTCATTGGCTTTGATTGACACACAGCCACTTGGCTGTGATCCTGCCAAGTGCCCCCACAAAAAGCAGCTTGCTATGGGGGCACCCGAGCAGGCTTGCTCCTCAGTCGCTGCTCTGTCTGTCCATTCAGACACAGAGCACGACTCGGACCTGCTCTCCTCTCTCCTCATTGGCTCACTGGCTGTGATTAACACACAGCCACTTGGCTGTGATCCTGCCAAGTGCCCCCACAAAAAGCAGCTTGCTATGGGGGCACCCGAGCAGGCTTGCTCCTCAGTCGCTGCTCTGTCTGTCCATTCAGACACAGAGCACGACTCGGACCTGCTCTCCTCTCTCCTCATTGGCTCACTGGCTGTGATTAACACACAGCCACTTGGCTGTGATCCTGCCAAGTGCCCCCACAGAAAGAAGCTTGCTATGGGGGCACCTGAGCAGACTTGCTCCTCAGTTGCTGCTCTGTCTGTCCATTCAGACACAGAGTACGGCTTGGACCTGCTCCCCTCCTCTCCTCATTGGCTCACTGGCTGTGATTGACAGTAGTGGGAGCCAATGGCTTAAATTGCTGTCTCAGCCAGTGAGGAGGGAGAGACCCTGGAGAGCCTCTGCTCTCGTGCACATTGCTGGATCAAGAGGGGGCTCAGGTGAGTATTGGGGGGTGGGGCTGCTGCACATAGAACGTTTTTTTACCTTCATGTATAGATAGAATGCATGAAGGTAAACAATTTTGAGCCTTTACAACTACTTTCATATACAGCTGCGGGTAGCAACCCTTTACAGATCTGTGACATATGAGCAGCCCAGTTTGCATCCAAGATGTGTAGTTACAACGTATAGCCATGGTGTCTGTAACTGTATATATGTCTCCCAAGTGCAGAAATATGCTCTTTCTTGAAGCCATTTTAGGTGTTTGAATAAGGCCTTGTTTCAGTTTTTTGTTTTAATTTGTTGATTTATTTTAAAAGTGTTTTCAGGGGGGTTTGATGAAAAATCTACACAGACCCCTGATGTTGCATTTTTTAGTTAGAGAAAGAGATTGAGCACATAATCCTCTTTTCATCTGCAGCCCCACAATCACTAGTAATGAACACAGAAGTGCTCTGTGCAGAGCACTTCTGTGTTCATTTACCAACAGAAGGAATAGCATCCATGCCATTCAAACTTACTATTCTTTCAGTTGGGAATGAACACCAGAGAGCTCGCTCTTGAGCCTTCCTGTGTTTATTGAAGGGTTCGGTAGACATGAATTATAGCAGAAGGGAATGCAAAGGATGTAAGGCTTCCTGATCTGGCCAGCTGGAAGCAGTCCTGTTTCAACGTGAGCCTTACATCCTTGATAGCAAAAGTTTTAAATCATAATCTAGACACTTAAAATGTATTTATGATGTTTTATCCAGGATAAGGGTCTGATTGTTGTTGAAGATGAAGAAGAGTCATATGTGATGGGTGATGATCCATGTAAGGAGGAGGAAATTCCACAGGAGATCAGCCCAGGTGAGGAATAAACACTAAATCCAGAGAAGAGTCCCAGATTCTCCTTGTTCAGTCACTACAACAATCTCTTCTCCCCCCCCCCTCCTCTGTCAGTAGATAGTAATGGGGGGACAGTATGTGCCCAGTGGGGGGGTCAGGAGCCATCAGCCTCTAGTAGACCCCAGCTATGAGCCATGTAAGGAGGAGGAGATCCCTCCAGAGATCAGCACAGGTGAGGAATAAATACTAAATCCAGAGAAGAGTCCCAGATTCTCCTTTTTCAGTCACTACAACAATCTCTTCTTCTCCCCCCTCCTCTGTCAGTAAACCGTAACAGAGGGACAGTATGGGGTTTATTTACTAAATCTGGTACACTTCTGCATAGAAACCAATCAGCTTCCAGGTTCTATTACCAAAGCGTAATTGATGAAGCTGATTGGCTACCATTGAAAATCCAACAAGAGTCTGTTTCCTTCCTACTCTATCCAAAAGTAGAAACTAGGATTTTGGTACTCCCTATAAAATCCTTTTCTTAGCGTCCATTGAGGTACAGAGAAAATCATTTACTTTTGGATTATACTGCCGCCTACAGACCTGGACACTAGCAAACAAAATGATAGACTAAACCAGGAAAAGTCCTCTCACTACCAACATGGGATAAATTAAATGCTACGCTGCCAATCCTACTCCTTTATAAAAACCACAGTGAACTATTCTTGTGAATATGTTATAAATAACTCCCTATTGCTGGGAAAGTGTGTAAATGAACAACATTACCTATATGCAACTGTGGTAAATAAATCAGAAAACAAAGTGGCTGTGCTATAATACACCTCCCCCCACTTATTAATGTATGTGTTAGGTGAACCAATCAATATACCAAATATCACATCAGCTATAAAGTAAATAAAATGACATGTGAAATTGAATTAGTTAGTAACTGTGGCAGGTGCTACAATGCACCTTCCCCTATTACAATGTGCTCAAATGTCTATACATCCAAAACAATATGTCAAAACCGATCTCCAATATTTAAACCAGTTCATTCCTTATGGAGTAAACAATGTCCCCATGCTACAAGACACCTTCCACATCCTGCAAAACAATTTGTGACTTGGTGACGAAAAGTGGTGCCAACATATATAACTAGTGATCCATGCTGACACTTGTGCTCCCCCTCCAGAATCGCACTCACCGCAAAATGGTGACCCCCTAAGAATAGGCGAGTCAAACGTGCTTGGTTAGGGGAGATCCTCCTGTTCCTCAGTTAGCCACTATAATGGATTGTTCACTGTGATGAGGGCCTCCCAATGTGATGAGGTCTTCCCAATGGAAAAAAGGTCCACTTCTCCTCCTCCACCAGAGATATGCAATGGGCATAATCAAAGGGAAGCTTCCAGAGCGTTATACTGTTTATTGTGATTAAAAACATATACAATTGCACTTACAGGTATACCATATATGGGCACTTTAAAATCAGTGTGTTCCGGAACGTCGGTAAGTGCACGCTCCACGTGCAGACTAGGACAAACCAGAAGTGACACAATTAGCTCCGTTCTCTCACTACCAACATGCCTCAGTTTTTATAGCAATGCAGTACGGAGAACAAGATCATAAACTTAGAGGAGTGGAACCTAGGTCCCTCAGTGGACTCCAAAAAAAAGATTTATATGATGAGTATAAAAATCCTTTTTTCTTTCTTGTCCATTGAGGGTTACAGGATGTCTTTTAACCTGTTAGGGCTGCCAAAAGTAGTCCAACCATTTGCTATGTTTCTTACACCCCAAATGCTACCAGGCCCAAGAAAACAACAAAGAACTAGGACCTGGCTGCAGCTCAAAGACCCACCTGAAGGACCTTATGCCAGAAACTAGCATCAGATGAGGCTGCATCTTCCGCCTGGTACAATTTAGAGAATGTGTGAATAGAAGATGAGGTACTAAGTCTGGGAAAATGTTCAATGCTGAAAAGTCCAAGAAGCACTCACAGATCTTGTAGAGTGCACCGTGACAGGAAAGGGTTGAAGATGATCCTTGGGACCATAAGCTTGAATCATGGTCTGCCTAATCTGAACGAGAAGGTGGTTCTCCCTTACCGGGTTTATCTGGAAATACAAAAAGAAATGGTGTAGTTCTGGACCTAGAAAACGCTCTGCAGCTAACTTTCACAAGGAACAAAGTCGAGGTAGGGCTCCATGCAGAGACCAGTGCCTAAAAAAAAAAAAAAGCAGTGGTTGAACTATACTCTGATTGTCCCAACTACCTCCTGACAGTGGGGGCAAATTAAAAGTTAAAGAAACTGCGCTTGTGTAAAAATTTAAAATATAAATGTGATTGATATATAAATTACAAAAAAGCAGCACCTTTACTATGAGATATTTGTCATAGTACACTTAGAACTACAATGTATCAAGCCGTGCTTGAAACATTTTGTTTAGGTGCATAAAAATCCTTAATACACAAATGTTCACATCAAACAATAAAAGTGCATAATAAACATAACAATCTAAAAAAATTATAGATTCTGTAAAGTCCATGTGTTGTGAAATTCACTTTTTCAAGTGCCCATGGCAAAGTCACAAAATAAGAGTGAATGTCCATCACTGATGAGATCAGAATGGCAGTTTGTGAAGACCGCCACCTCAGTGGTAAAAATGCAAGCTTAACAGCTGCAAATGACCTTCTACTTAAAGACAGGTCACAGAAGGCTCATAGATACCAACTGTAGTGGGGATCACCACACGGTTGTGAATATTCTCCAAGGGAAACACGTATTCTTATGGTCAAGACTGAAAAAATGATGTAGCACTACTCAAATAGTATATAAATAAATCACATACCATAAACACATGTAAATAAATGTGATAAATATGAAGAGACGAAGAGTGAAAAATATCATAAACATGACCTGATCCACATGGGATCCAAAAAAATGACAATGAAAATACTATAAGTGTCTAAACGTGACCTGATCCTCAAGGGATCCTTTGTGAAGAAAGTGAATTATAATCCACCAAAGTGATAGTAATAACTGAAGTGCGATACCAATACTCTCACTGAGTATGGTATATAAGTGAATTGATCCTAAATTGGATCTATGGTGATGGTGGACACTCAAACCAAAAAGACAGAATAGTCCAAATGGAACTAATATGTGAATACTGTCAAAAAAAAAAAAAAAAGGACTCCAAACCAAGGAAAACGCACATACATACAGAAAAACACTTCTTATAACAAATGTGCACACTTACTCAATAGTTTACTTACCATGGATTAATATTAATATAATGATCATAATTATAAAATCAATCTCTGGGTTCTTTTTTTTTTTTTTTGAAGGGTCCCTCTAAATTCTCTGTGGTTGTACATTTTGGAAGCATGGGAATAATGAATTTCATTGGCAAGAAGTGTACTCGTTCAGCCAAGCACTTCCTTTTTCAAAATATTCTCTAGCAAAGTTTGGTTTAAAAAAAACTCTCATTAAAGGATATGTAAGCTCTAACAATGAACTTCTCTCATCTGCTCCCTTTTGGTCTGTAAAATATACAGTTCAAAGTGTTTGTACAGTATATGCTCAATAAGGGCAGACAAAAATTCAGGTGATTTTGCCAGAAATACTATGATCCAATAATTTTCTGTGCCCTGTGCATGTACTGACAGTTATCAGTGACGTTGTTCTTTGCCATCTCTGAGGTCTACAGAATCCCTCCCTTTATGTTATGGAGAATAGGAGAGAGGGAGGTTTTTGTAGAGCTATCCTAGGGTGGCAAGGCAGCTTCTTTGCATAGATAAAATACTGTGAATAAATGTTGTCACCTTAGGGCATGTGAAAAAAAAAAGGGAAAAAGCTTGAAAGAGAAACTAATGTGGTCACCACATCTGAAGACTGTTAGGCCCCTTTCACATGGGCCAGATACAGATATGCTCAGCAGGTGATCTGTCTGCTGATCCACTTCTGAGCTGAGCGGCCAGAGGACAGGTCTGTGTCCACTCTGCATATGGTCAGTCAGATGTAAATGAACTGGCTGTCTATTTACACCCAACTGCCCTCTGATCCAATCTGGACAGATGGAAGGGAATGGATCCCCTACTGTTTGTTTTTGCCAGATTGGATCTGAGGTAGCCCGGTGTAAACAGATAGCTGGGCTGTTTACATCTGACTGTCCATGGAGGATCCAGTCGGGTTCACTTGAAAAATAGACAGGTGGACCCAATCAAACCGCTTGTGTGAAAGGGGCCTTATAATGCTAGAAATTACATTTTTGTTCTTGCATTTAATTACACTTTAACTCACATTACTCCTACTTCCCTTCCAAATATTCTTTTCTCCAGACACACAACACTGGAATAATGTGGACAAACAGCTCACTATATTTCCAAATGATGAAGTGGAAGAGGAGGACGTCACATGGGAATCTTCAGAAGGAAATACCTTTACACCAAATCTTCATTTAATAACATACATCGGAGATCCATCGTCAGATCCCTTCACACAGGACACAAGTTTTGCTGAGACTTCATCTCCCATCACCCATAATACAGGGGATCAAACCTTCCCCTGCCCTGAATGTGGAAAATGTTTCAGCAGAAGGGAAGGGCTTACTGGACATCTGAGAATTCACACTGGAGCAAAGCAATTTTCTTGTCCCCAATGTGGGAAATGTTTTATATACAAGTCCTCTCTTAGCAGACACGAACGGGTCCACACCGGGGAGAAGCCATATTCATGTTCGGAGTGCGGCAAATCTTTTTCTCAGAAAAATAGCCTTTTCACTCACGAAAGGACGCACACGGGCGCAAAGCCATATTCATGTTCGGTATGCGGAAAATGCTTCAGACAGAGTTCAGCTCTCTCCACCCACGAAAGGACCCATACGGGTGAGAAGCCATACTCGTGTTCGATATGCGGAAAATGCTTTAGGCAAAGTTCAGCTCTTTACACTCACGAAAAGACTCACACCTCTGATAAACCATTTTTCCTGCTCTGAATGCAGCAAATGTTTTACTGAGAAGGGAAATCTGATCACCCACATGAGATCTCACACAGGGGAGAAGCCCTATTCATGTTCTGAGTGTGGGAAATGTTTTTCCAGGAGTTCAGGGCTTATTAAGCACCAGAGGTGTCACACGGGAGAGAAGCCATATTCATGTTTTGAGTGTGGGAAATGTTTTAACGACCGTTCAGATCTTGCTAAACACAGGAGAATCCACACTGGGGAACGCCCCTATCTATGCACAGAGTGTGGGAAAGGTTTTGCACTTAAATCCCATTTGCTTCGACATAAGGCAGTCCACACTAGCGACCAGCCCTATTCCTGCTCAAAGTGCGGGAAAAGTTTTACCGATAAATCAAATTTGGTTAGACATGAGAGACTCCACCTTGGTGATCGCCCATATTCATGTTCTGAATGTGGGAAAGCATACTCACACAAAGCCTCTCTTCTGTCACATGTCAGTTCCCACAGATACTAAGAGGTGTGTGAAAGACACACACGGGTCCTAGTTTTCATCATGAATAAAGTGAAAATAAAAATTGAAGGCAATATTTTTTTAAGGTAAAGTATAATGGTTTGTAGTGGGGTGATGCTTCTCCAATGCTGTATGGCAGGGGTGTCCAAACTATGTTGAGGAACTGCAAGTCCCATGAGGCCTTGCAAGACACTGACATCCACAGGCAAGACTCCCACATGCATGATGGGACTTGTAGTACTTCAACAGCTGGAGGGCCATATTTTGGACACCCCTGCTGTATGGTGTCCAGCCCAGTGGATGACGTCAGCACTCAGTCCCACAGCATTAACCTATTTCATAACAAAACCATCAGAAACAGGAATAAGGGGGTGCCCAGTGATCCAAATTTTGAGGTAGCTTCAGATACTTGGCTTGACCAGTCAACTCAATAAGTGAGTCTTCATAGACAGGGCAGGCGATGCCAATAGTTCTGGACCTAGAAAACGCTCTGCAGCTAACTTTCACAAGGAACAAAGTCGAGGTAGGGCTCCATGCAGAGACCAGTGCCTAAAGGTCACTTCCAGACTATCCCTGTATGTCTAGCCCTGCAAGGTTCGGACACAGAACTCCAAAAGTCAGGCTGAGGAAGACCACGCTGGACAGCTGCAGTAGAAGAGAGCCAGTAGAAGTGAAAGCTCCAACAGCAATGTAGAGAAGAGCCCTGATTGAAGAAAAAAAAGTGCTAGCAAAAAATAAATTAGTCTTCATATATCACAGCTGTAGAAAAAGACTTCCATCATCTTATGGTACTAGCAAAAAACTGAGGCATGCTGGTAGAGAAAATATCCTGGGCTGGACTACAGGTTTTTTTTTTTGCCAGTGTCTAATCCCTCTGCAGGCTACAGTATAACCCGAAAGTTAAAGACTTTTGGTGTCCCATACTGCGTGAGAAAGAAAAAGGTTTTTGGTTAGATGAGCACTTTAAGTTGACCACACTCCTAAATTTTGAAACAACCATGCAGGGGATAATCCTATTGTAGTGTAGTAGTTTGAGCCATTATACATGCCCATTTTAAGTCCAAACTTACAATGCTTTAATACTTGGTTCTTATGTGATCACATTTTGGTAATCAACTAGACCAGGGGTCTCCAAACTTTCCAAGTAAAGCACCAGTTTACTATCCTTCAGACCTTAGGGGGGCCAATTATGGCCAGTTGGGGTAGAAAATGTCTCAGGCCGTGCATTAGTGATAGCAAACAATGCCTCAAGAATAGTGTTCAATTGTATTGTACCTGTGGCCAGTAGGATGAGGAATAGTGCCTCATCTCTGCTGTCAGTGGATGGAATAGTGCCCCATCATTGGTGGCAGTGGATGAAATATTGTCTCATCATTGGAGTCAGAGGGAGGAATAGTGCCCCATCAATAGCATCAGTGGGAGGAATAGTGCATTGGTGTCATTGCATGGAATAGTGACCCATCATTGGTGTCAGTCCATAGAATAGTGTCCCATCATTGGTGTCAGTCGATGAAATAGTGCGCCATCATTATTAAGAGTGAAGGAATAGTATCAGTGGGAGGAATAGTGCCCCATCGTTGGTATCAGTGGGAGGAATAGTGTCCCATCATTGGTATCAGTGGGAGGAATAGTGCCCCATCATTGGTATCAGTGGAAAGAATAGAGCCCCATGATTGGCATCAGTGGGAGCAATAGTGTCCCATCATTGGTATCAGTGGGAGGAATAGTGTCCCATCATTGGTATCAGTGGGAGGAATAGTGCCCCATCATTGGTATCAGTGGGAGGAATAGTGGCCCATCATTGGTATCAGTGGGAGGAATAGTGCCCCATCATTGGTATCAGTGGGAGGAATAGTGCCCCATCATTGGTGTCAGTGGGAGGAATAGTGCTCCATCACTGGTATCAGTGGAAGAAATAGTGCCCCATCACTGGTGTCAGTGGAAGAAATAGTGCCCCATCATTGGTATCAGTAGGAGGAATAGTGTCCCATCATTGGTATCAGTAGGAGGAATAGTGTCCCATCATTGGTATCAGTAGGAGGAATAGTGTCCCATCATTGGTATCAGTGGGAGGAATAGTGACCCATCATTGACATCAGTGGGAGGAATAGTGCCCCATGATTGGTATCAGTGGGAGGAATAGTGCCTCATCGGTGTCAGTGGGAGGAATAGTGCCCCATCATTGGTGTCAGTGGAAGGAATAGTGCCCCATCATTGGTGTCAGTGGGAGGAATAGTGCCCCATCATTGGTATCAGTGGGAGGAATAGTGCCCCATCATTGGTGTCAGTGGGAGGAAATAGTGCCCCATCATTGGTATCAGTGAGAGGAATAGTGCCCCATCATTGGTATCAGTGGGAGGAATAGTGCCCCATCATTGGTGTCAGTGGGAGGAATAGTGCCCCATCATTGGTGTCAGTGGGAGGAATAGTGCCCCATCATTGGTATCAGTGAGAGGAATAGTGCCCCATCATTGGTGTCAGTGGGAGGAATAGTGCCCCATCATTGGTGTCAGTGGGAGGAATAGTGCCCCATCATTGGTATCAGTGAGAGGAATAGTGCCCCATTGATGGTGTCAGTTGGGGGAATTATGCTCTACTGTTGGTGTTAGCGTTCGGAATAGTGCCTCAAATCAGTGGAAGCTATAGTGCCCCAAGGCCCTGATAAAAGCTAGCAAAGGGCTGCAGTTTGGAGACCACTGAACTAGACATTGCCCATTTAAGATTTTCCAGCTCGCCTGAATAAAGAATTGTTTACCCTTGAAAAGTTGTGGCTTTGACATTTCCCTCAATATGTATTTTTACTGGGAGGGAGGTCCCTGGAAATTTTGTGATCATACATTTTTGGGGAGTGGATATCTTAATAAATTCCACTGGCAAGAAGTGTACTCACTAAGCCCATAGCTTAATTTATATCTATTCTCTGGCAAATTTTGTATTCGAAAGCTAATTAAAGATCATGTAACCCCTAATCATGAACTTCTCTTGTTTGCTTCCTTTTGGTCTGCCATTGAAAGCATTTTGATATATCTGATTGATAAGTGCAAAAAAAATATTTGTTTCTTGCCAGAAATATTGTGAGCTGCTAAATGACTGTGCTCTGCTTGGGCTGCCTGTTATCAATTACATTGTCCTCAGGCATCTCTGAGGACTACAGAATCCTGCCCCTCTGTTAGCCACCACATTAAGGACCGCAATATATTACATTTTCTTTCTTGGTTTTAAATACACTTTAACTTACATCGATCCTACTTCCCTTCCACGTATTCTTTCCTCCAGGCGCAGAACACAACAGGAATGAGGACAAAGAGCCCACTGTCTTTCCAGATGATAATGTGGAAGACATCACATGGGAGTCTTCAGAAGAAAACCTTGTTACCCCAAATCACTATTTAGTAGCACAGAGCACAGATCTACCGCCTGATCCTTCTACACATGGCATGAGTTTTGTTGATCCATCACTTCACATCATCCACCACCCAGGGGGTGAAAGCTTCCCCTGCCCCGAATGTGGAAAATGTTTCAACAAAAGGGGAGGGCTTATCGTACATCTCAGAAGTCACACCGGAATGAAGCAATTTTCATGTCCCCAATGTGGGAAAAGTTTTATTTACAAATCCTCCCTTAGCAGACACAAACGGATCCACACTGGGGAGAAACCATATTCGTGTTCGGAGTGTGGCAAATCATTTTCCCAGAGAAATAGCCTTTTCACTCACGAAAGGACGCACACGGGTGCAAAGCCATACTCGTGTTCAGTATGCGGAAAATGTTTTACTGATAAATCAAATTTGGCCAGACATGAGAGAGTCCACATTGGTGATCGCCCATATTCATGTTCTGAATGTGGAAAAGAGTACTCACACAAAGCCTCTCTTCTGTCACATGTCAGTTCCCACATATAACAACCAGTTCTTTACTATGCTGTGAAAGACAAATTGGCACACATTGGTACTTTTGTTCTATCAGGAATAAAGTGGAAATAAAAACTGAAAACTATATTTATAAGGAGTGTATAGTGGTTTGTAAATAGGGCCAGAACTATAAAACACATTTCTAAAATTGCAGCTTTCTGCCTTGGTATGTTTGATATTTTCTCCTTCTGTATAAAAAAACATGTTGTTTCTAGATCTCAATAGCTCAAGAAGAAATGTGCACACACATGAAAGAGAGCAGTGATCCCTCCATCCACACTGCTCCTTATGAGGTTTCAATGAGAGACATTTTGCCTCAAAGAAGACCACTTTCGCAGTTCTCTCTCAGAGATAATCTATAGCATGGAGGGAATGTTGACTAAAGTGCAGACATAGCTCAAACTCCCCCCCCCCCCCCCCCCCATTTTTATGTGTGTGTGAAAGGTTTTGCTTTACATATACTTTAGAAAGTTAACCAAAAAACAGACAGCATGCCTTTGATACAGTATTAATTCCATTTCCAACACACACGTTCCTGAAGATGGCTGTTCAGTATTGCTTGGTGCTCCTGTAGCCACAGGCTGGAAACCATAGACAAAGTGAAGAAATGCCACCAGTACACCAAGGATTCCTCAAAACGGTCCAAAGCTTTATTTCATAATCACACGGTAAACACATAGACAACATTTCAGAGCCGCACAGGGCCACTTCATCAGGCAACTGGCGTGGCTCCGAAACATTGCCTTTGTGTTTACCATGTGGCCGTAAAATAAAACTTTGACCCATTTTGAGGAATCTATGGTGTGCCGGTGGCATTTCTTTGCTTTCATTGTCTAGCAGAACTTAGGTTCGTTGATGATAGTGAACATCCTATTGAATGGAATTTGTGTACGAATTAATTACATATTTCCAATCTGTCCACTAACCTGACATTGAATGGCTCCTCTTTCTCTGCTCTCCTCCATGCTAACACATTTATGGACACTAGCTGTCAAGACTGTGCCCACAGTTTCGAGATGCCCCATCAATTGTGATGTCACACATCTCTTCTTTTAGAAAACAATATTCAAAAGATATAGAATTAGAAAAATAACAGAGTTTAAAGCCAAGCTGAGACAGCAAAATAAGCAACTTATCCACTCCCTTGTTATATCTCACCTTGACTATTGTAACTCCCTCCTCATTGGCCTACCTCATTGCAGGCTATCCCCTCTTCAGTCTATCATGAATGCTGCTGCCAGACTGATCCACCTTACTAACCGTTCTGTATCTGCCACCCCTCTCTGCCAATCCCTCCACTGGCTTCCCGTTGCCCAACGGATAAAATTCAAAACACTAACAATAATGTATAAAGCCATTTATAACTCTGCCCCAAATTACATCACCAATCTTGTCTCTGAATATCACCCAAACCATACTCTCCACTCCTTGCCACACCTCCTACTTTCTAGCTCCCTTATCTCCTCCTATGCTCGTCTCCAGGACTTCTCCAGAGCTTCCCCCATCCTCTGGAACACTCTACCCCAATTTATCAGACTATCGCCTACTCTGCTCACTTTTAGTTGATCTCTAAAAATCTATCTCTTCAGGGAAGCCTATCCTGCCCTCAGCTAATACTGGAATCTTCTACTCTTCCAACTAGTCCATTCCCCACAGTTACTACCTTTTGTACCACTAGCCCCTCCCTCCTAGATTGTAAGCTCCAAGGAGCAGGACCCTCCTATCCCTCTTGTATTGAACTGTATTGTTGCTGTATTGTCTCCCGTTATATTGTAAAGTGCTGAGCAAACTGTTGGTGCTATATAAATCCTGTATAATAATAATAATAATAATAATGTAGGTGCATCAGAATATAAGATGTACGCAATCTAAGGGCTAGTCCACAGCAGCACTGGGCTGTATCAAGCAGCATAGCCCAATACAACCCCAATACAAGATCAAGACAAAATATGCCTTATGTCCTATGGATTTAGTTCACACCAATGTGCTGCTTTAATGTGTGCTGATAAAAAGTAGGATATATTGCAATTTTGCACGGCAAAATCCAATGCGTGGTAATTGATCACAAGACTCTGCAATATAATAAAATGATAATTTAAAAAAAAATGAAAAAGTAAGCTTTGTAATGTATTTTTGCAGTGTTCGCACCACACATCAGCATTACGTGCACAATAAAGCACACTGTGTGTGTTGTGAATGAGGCCTTACAGTTTGTTACAGCCACAGCCCGAGTCAAAAAACATGTTGTAGAAAAGGACTCTTCTTCTGTACATAGAAGCGGTGGTTGTTCTGCAGCATTCAACAAAGCTTCTTTTGTGCTACAGCTCTCAAATCAGCAAATATTACCCTTCTTGCAGATTGCACAGCTCTAACTCAGCATGGGAGTGGGGCTGGTGTTTTTTGGACCTGAACCCAGCTATGAACAGGAAGACTAACCTAGTGATCAGGCACAAGCTGAATGTTAAGTACAGGCACAGTCTAGTTAAGCTCTCCTGATTATGGCAAGTGTGGGCTTCAGAGACCTTAGCTGCAGTGTCAAGTAGCAACCAGCAGAGGCTAAAGGCTGCTTGCTGCACCAATATTCAACTTTTGGGAGTAACAATTCAGTTCTACTAGGTAGGCACACACTGTTTGACAAAGTGTTGTTGGTGGCCAAAGCTTTTTCAATCCTTGATCATCTCAAGGTTGAATCTTTGATTAAATCAAACCAGGCTTCAATACAAAGAAGGGTCAATATAGGGTAGATTTCCCTAGGTTATTGCCCTGGAATAATGCTCACTGCCGTGGTAACAGAAAATATTACAGAAAAAAAAACGTAACCAGAGGAGTGAGAACCGTGTCCTCTAGTGAATGCACAGAAAGTACAAAAAAATCACGTTTTCTCTAACGTTCATTGAAGGGCACAGCACAGCAAAGGAATCTTGTACATAGGGACATCCCAGAGCAGTGACCAATTGAGGAGGTAAAACCTTTCGGCCAAAACATGCATTAGAGGATGCAGTGACATCAACCTAGTAACTTTGTGAGAGTGTGGACAGACAACAAAAAGCATCTTTACAGACTTGAGAAATGGCCGCCCAATGATGAAAAGCCCAGTGTGTGGTAATTGCTCTAGTGGAGCGGGCCCTAACAGGAACAGGAGGAGTCTGACCTTTAATAGCCTAGGCCTGGACAATGGTCTGCCTAAATCCATCTCGAGATAATATAAATGCTGCCAACCCTTTGCACAGCCTTGGACACCACAAAGAGAGAGTATGTTTTTTTTTACTAAATGAAGCCAAATGGTATACCTAAGCAGTCCAAACATCCAGAGTATGAAGCATGATCTCCTTGGAATAAGTTGGACAAAGAAGCCAGAACAAGATCCTCTTTAAGTATGGGGTGGATGGACTGTTTCCATCCAATGGTCATCCGATCCGGTGACTTCTCCATCAAGATCAATAATACAACCATCAGTCCCTCCCCTCATGCCAGAATACTAGGTGTAATCCTGGACTCTGATCTGTCCTTTCAGCCCCAAAACCAAACACTGTCAAAATCTTTAAGACTTCACCTCCATAACACGCCCCTTTTTATTTACCACTGAAACCACTAAGCAACTTATTCACTCCCTTGTTATCTCTCACCTTGACTATTGTAACTCCCTCCTCATTGATCTAACAAATCGCAGTCTAGTCCCTCTTCAGTCTATCATGAATGCTGCTGCCAGACTCATCCACCTTACTAACCGCTCCATATCTGCCACCCCTCTCTGCCAATCCACCCCTCTCTGCCAATCCTTCCACTGGCTTCCCATTCAGTGTCCTCCATCCCTCTCTGCCAATCCCTCCACTGGCCTCCATTCAGTGTCCTCCACCCCTCTCTGCCAATCCCTCCACTGGCCTCCATTCAGTGTCCTCCACCCCTCTCTGCCAATGCCTCCACTGGCATCCATTCAGTGTCCTCCACCCCTCTCTGCCAATCCCTCCACTGGGTTCCATTCAGTGTCCTCCACCCATCTCTTCCAATCCTTACACTGGCCTCCATTCAGTGTCCTCCACCCCTCTCTGCCAATCCTTCCACTGGCTTCGCATTGCCCAACGGATAAAATTCAAAACATTAATAACATGTAACTAAGATAGCAATAAAAGTGAGCACTCTATGTGGTAAGCTGCTGGACACTCAAGGAAACCAAAATAAAGCCTTATAAAGAATACATAAAAAAAGTGCAGTGCTATAAATGTAGTGAAAATTGATATGCAAAATGATCTAAATGTGTTCATTTCTGCCAGGACACAGAAGCTGATCTTTTCTTTATAACGCCACCAAGCTTCAGACAGGTGGAGCTATTTATTCATAGCACCTGCCTGATCCAGCAACATTAAGGATTCCAGAGAAGGGAGATCCTGTACACAGGCAACCTGCACCCACCTATCCCTTAAGGGGACCTCTGGCCAGCTGGATCTTCTTACCATCCTGTGTGCTTCCACCACCACTATCCACTTAGAGGGAGGATCATCTCCACGTGTTCCTGATCAGACCAACCACCCAGAGGGAGGACATCTTCCCCTATCCCAGACCAGACCCTAAAGGAAGCTTCTGCGGATTTTACTTAATGCACATTCACATTGTGCATCTGGTGAGTGCACAATCTCTCTACATTACTTGGAACATCATCACGGATTATAAGGAGAGCACTATATAGACTATTCAGTAGTCTTTAGTGACAATACGAAACATTTATTAATATTTCAATATTTTATTATCCTTTACATATTGACTGTTTTACTGTACGTATAGTCATTTAGATCATTTTGCATATCAATTTTCACTACATATAGTGCTGCACTATTTTTATGTATTAACAATAACATATAAAGACATTTACAACTCTACCCCAAATTACATCACCAATCTTGTCTCTACATACCTTACCCTCTTGTATTGAACTGTATTGTTGCTGTATCGTCTCCCTTTATATTGTAAAGCGCTGAGCAAACTATTGGTGCCAT